AATATAACCACGACAGATTGCCTTACAATCCCCGCATCGCCCTTGTTTCAATGCCGCCAGGAGATGGGCATAGGCTACAGAATATTCAACCAACTTGGTCGTCGCAGTGGCTTCGTTCGTCGGATGTTGTTGGCCGACCGTGTGTCAGTAGTACTGGGACATACTTCCAGGTACGTACTGTATAACGTATACCCGTATACCCGTATACGTCGGGAGGGGCGTGGGGCAATAATCATCCGTTGAAGGACATGAGTCATCAATTGATGGCAGAGCTCAATTGAGTGCCGGGGAAATAATGACATTATATTTTGTATTTTGCAAGTTGGAAAATACAAGCATGCGCCTCTCGTGCAACTCATAAAGAACGCATGGGCATGTCAATAGTACCTCTTCCCTCAACGACACGCCTTCGCTGGTCTCATTGTCGCCAAGCCCGCACGACCCGACGTCCACAAGCGCATTGCGGCCTACTGCATCAATGCATTGGGGCGCCGTGACAATGCGCTAAGTGTCATCAGCATCCTTCCACAGACGCGCAGACGCTCATCGTTTCAAATGCTTACAATTCCTGGAAATCGGGCCTTGACAGCTCTTGAGCCACCCTGCATACCATGGAATTTCATATTTGACATGACCTGCACAAGTCATATGGGGACATTTCCTGCGTAGCAGGAACTCGCTTACGAGGTCGAGTGTCTCTACTCGAGATATGCAAATTGCGAACAGCCTTGTTCCACTCATTTGCTTAACAAATATGGCTAATGTATGTGGAATCACTTACAGCACACTGTGTGTGATGCAGGTGCATGGCAAATATATCAGGAACAACCATTTATTTACATGAATTGAAGGATAGGTTGGAACACCTGCTCTCAGAACCGGAAACATGCAATGCCCAATTGCGCAGACGATACACAGATTTTCCAGTAAACCTACATTCAGACAGTAACGCGTGAAACATTTTGGCCGAAATGCGTGGATGGCATACTGTTTGCCGTATTAAAAGATATTTCAGTGGTTCTCCATGGTGCTAGGCAATGCTGCGGAGTCTTTTTTCAGACATTAAAAAATTGACTCTCTGGCGGAGGGGAGCTGTGCAGCCAACGCTGCACCGATAGTAGAGGCTCAAAACCCGATAGAAGGCTATGGGAGCAGCCCTAGAGGTTGTCACTCGGGGGCTTTTTGGAGGAAGCATGAACTCGTCAGGGAGGATTCTGAACACCTTATAAATTTTTCGCCACTGATAGGCAGCGGCTTGGGCTCAGTGTGGCTTGTATCGATTTAGATGCAGTTATACTACCTCCGTTTCATAAGTCGTGTTCCGGTCCTTTCTTTTGCTATTTTTGCAGGATCAACTCAATCGGTGAATCCATCACCAAATTCAGATTCCTTGGTCGATTTTGGGTTGATGCCCATCTTTACTATGTTCAGGCTTGTTATTTGCGTTTACGTTTAGGTTGTTACGTTTACCTTTTACACGCAAAAAAGTAAATTTGCAAAAGAGGCCACTTTTACGGCTGTTGTACGTTTTTGCGGCTCGTTGTGTCTCCCAGGCTACACGATGGAATTTGCGTACAGTGATCAGTATTCCGCTCCCTTGAGCGCCTGGAGCACAGCGTCCACTGGGACAAAATTCGTTTTCTGCCGATTTCAGTGCGTCTGGATACCATTGCCCGGAGTCCCGAAGGGTGTATGTGCTGTCCTTATCTGCACGTGCACGTGGCTGTTTTTGCATTGCATTTACGTACTTTTAAGTGTAAAAACGTATTACGTCGTTTACTAAACGAGATCTGTGTATACGGCGCAGATAACAAGCCTGACTATGTTGGTGACCACCATGCAACTTGGCATCTGTAACGCTTTCAAAAATTCCCCTGTTCGATTACATGCAAGCCTTCATGAAGGCTTGCATGCCTTCATGCAGGGAAATGATCATTTCCCTGCACTGATGCATTGGAAATATTCCGGTATGTCCCAACCCAATTCACCAGAATTCATTGAGAACCTTGTTGTAGACTACAGATAGGCACTCACTACACACTTTAGAAATTTTTACACCATTGACATGTAGCAATTTTGTCAAACAATGACAAAACAAAACGACCACTTAAGTCGTCGGGCTGTGTTTTGTCACTTCGTGACAAATTCAATCCATGGATTTTGATGGTGAAGTCGTCGGGCTCCCCGTTTGGCATGCCGTTAATGGTTACGCAGCCGTAATGCTGGACAGCCCAGTAACTCTTCACGAATGTCCATATTTCAATATCTACAAGCGTTGATGTGTGTTCCATCACGCACATATCAAGCTGGTCATCATCGCGTCATTGCTGATGCACAGGACTTGCCTAAGTGTTATTATGTGCTGCGTCAATGACACCTTAAATACAGCGCTTGATCAGCTGCTATTCAATTGAGTAGATTTTGCGAGCTGCAAATGAATGAGCTAGCTACTTCCAACGCCGATCAACGGGTTGACATTGCTTTCACCAGATTTCGATTTGTGGGCAGCACTTCAGTTCAACGCGATGAGACATAGCTCCCACCTACATTGGGAGGCGTACGAGCGCGCTTGGATCCAATTTGGCAATGGTATATGGTTGCCCGTATCCTGAAACACCACTTCGCATTTCAAGTACTCAAGATCGCGAATATTGACAAGCCATGGTGCAAAACAATGCGATGGAATTTGCTACGGCTCTAGCGGCTGGTCCATTTATCGTGTTGATGGATCTCAGAGTAGGGATGACATTAATGCAGCACAGCACTGCAATTCGTCTGGCAATGACAGGTAATATTAGGTAGTATCCTTCAGCATAGAGCAGTTTGATTTTTTTCTGTTTGCCATGCTGTCTGCTTAACCAGAATAGTAAGCTTACTAGTCTGTTCATTGCCAAAAGGGTGACTTGATTGGCTGATTTATTTTATTGAGAGATTGTGTGATTGTTTGATTTATTGATGTCTTATTGGTTCCCTTGTTTGAATCCATCATTGGCGATATAATGATATGTAGCCTACTTGATGGCTGACGTACTTGCGCACCTCTTTTCTCGGTGGCCTGACTGCTTGCTTGCCTTTTGACTCACGGTTTATGCGGCTGCGTTCGTGATCAATGGCGTGATCTGCATCTTGGATTATTGCTTCAATGCTACATAGTCAGTGCGTTGGAATAATTTCCTTCTGAATTCCTGGTCTGGTTGCCATGTTTGCTTGACTGATTGATTGTGTGAATTACTGCTCTTCGATGATTGCTATACTTTTCTCCAGCATGTATCTGCTTGATTGAAATATCGATTAACTGCTTTCCTACGTGAGGGTTGTTCGATTGATAGATTCTATGATTGCTTTAATTGTCCATAATTTCATTGCTAGATCGCGCCACTGTGGGATGGCCTGACTTACGTATCGCTTCATTGCTTGGTTGTCATATTGCCAGGCTGCTCGATTGCACGGGAATTGCATGCCGGCATGTTCAATTGATTGTTGGTCCCTTAGACTCGTTGTATGGCTTATCGATTGATTGCTTGGCAGTGATATTTCCGTATTGCTTGAATGCTGTCCTGTTTGAGTTAATGTCCATTCAGTTGCATTATCTATTTGTGATCCATAATAGCCATACGCTATGCAGTGCATAGTGGCCACAATAGAGGTTGGTGCCTTTCTACACGGATGCCTGAGGTCAAATCGGTATTCGCGTTGGGATTGAGCGCTTGAGATATTGCTTGCTGGCTTCACATTGACAAGTTTGTTGGTGAGGGGCAATGCGTCCGGCAGCTGTAGTTACTTCACCACTACATTTTGTTCCAAGAGGCCCGCCTCCAATGATCTGGGCACCACGGCTTAGGCCCGAGCAGTTGCTGAGCACTATGTGTGAAAGCTGCTCAAGCACTTTCTGATGCTGTATGTAGACCGTCTCTTGCGTCGCGTGGCATCACGTAGAACATTCATTGAACCTAATTGCCACACCACCCAAGGTGAGAAAGCATAGCATCACAGAGAATACTGGCACAAATAAATTGCACAAACGACCAAAATAAAGGAGTATGAGGGAACATGCCACTGAGCGAGTCCGCAACCCCTTGTGCACAAAACCTCCGCCGTGCGAAATTTGCCCGAAATCCGTCCTTGGATCGCCCCTCGGCTTTCGTCCCGGCACACTTCTTCTCACCGCAGCAAATCATCCAGCCGAGCGACGACCCACCCGCCCCTCACATCGGCTGCCGGCCACCCGATCCCTCCAGCTTCCCCGGGAGGTCCCAACCCCGTCCCCACCCCACCACAGGCACCGTCCGTCTCGGAACGACACCCGCCCGACACGGCCCCCCTCCTCCCCTAAACCTAACCCTCGCTCACCTCCCCCCTAACCTGGGGCCCCAATCTGGCAGGCCCATCAACCTGTCGTGCACCCCTGCCAACAACTAAAGGGCCTGCCAGCAATAGTTGTGTCCAACTCCGCTCGCCACGCTCGACAGCCTGTCACGGCGACCAGCCTCCCTGCGCGTGGAGCGGCCGGCGCACGGCGCGCCAGCCGCCGGGGCCCCCCCCTCCCTCCCGGCGGGGGCCGGCCGATCCTGGCACCCACGCCCATCCACCTGCTGTGGACCCGCGCCCGAAAACCGGAGCGTGGAGCCGGGCATTGATCCGTGATCGTCGTCAACTTCGGACGGCGGAGGACGAAGAGAAAAATTGCGGCCCGGGGGCTTGGGAAACCTCCAGAGGGAGAGCGGGGCATTTGAATCGATCGGGAGGCGTTGGCAGCGGACCGGTCGCTTGGCCGGCGTCGAAGGGGCGATTCGGCATCCCGGCGACGGTTGAGGGGGACGCGGGCGCTGGGCCGCTTTTCAGACATCCGCCCCCGCGGGCCGCGTTCTCGGAAAAAGAAGGAATTCGCGTCGGAAGCCTTTCTCGCGTTGCAGTTGTCTCGAACGGGCGATTAGGATCGAGAAGAGAGGGAGTTGGTGAGGTGCTTAAGGGGGTTTGGATTGGGGTTGGGTTGGCTGGGGATGGCGGAACAGAGGGCGTCACTCGGCGGGTCGGTCCTGCAACAACTGCCGCGCGAGGGCGGCGGCGGCGGCAGCCTGCTGTACTCGTCGCATCTGGGCGTCCAGCCGCTGCCCGGCCCGGGGCGGCGGGGGGATGGGGAGGGCGGGGGGGCGGATGGCGTGGAGCTCAGCCTGCAGGACTTCCAGTCCAGCGGGGACGGCACCAACAGCGGGTCGGAGGATGGGGACAGCCGCGGTGGCGGCAGCTGCGGGCACGAGGAGGGCGACACGCGGCGGGCGCGGCGCATCCTGGCCAACCGGCGGTCAGCGCAGCGGTCGCGCACGAGGAGGATGCAGTACATCCACGAGATTGAGCGCAAGGTGAGGCGCAGGGCGGCGAGCTATTGACCTGGGTCGGTTTGGGGGGCCCGCGGGCGCGTTTTTGCGTGGGAAGAGGGCGGGATTAGGGCGGCGGGGGGCTGGGGGGATGTTGGAGGGTTGGTTGGGCTGCGCTGGTGGAAGGTTCCTCCTTTTCAGGGTTGGGGGCGGCCGGAGTCTGGGCGCTGCGTTGTGTCTCGCGGGGCGGCCGGGGGCGAATTCGATCGCCCCACACCGCCGGAAATCGAAATCGGCTCCTTTCCCGATGTCCGGCTGGGTGTGGCGTGAGGATTATGGGATGGGTCGTGCGCCAGTGGTTTGGTGCCGCGGGTCGTTGTGCCGTCTTCTCACTGCGGGTCCCAACCCGGCAGACCGCTCCCGGCGGCCGATTCCGGGTGTTCGGGAGCGGTGGCCGGAAGGAGGGGCGCGCCGGGCCGACCAACGCCCTCCCCCTCCGGCCGCCGTACTCCCTGTGACAGAAACTGCATTGCCCAGCGTCGTTTTCCGTACGGCGGGCCGCGCCCTTGTGGATGCCTCGCCGAGCTCCGCCTCGGCGATGCGCGGGGTCGGCGTCGTGGCCCTGTGCGGCTGGCGATGCGGTCGGCGCGCCCGCGGCGACGCGCATTTGATGCTGGGCGAGGGTAGGGGTATTTGGATCGGGCCTCGTTGGGAGGCATCCGTGCGAGGCACGCCGGTGGTGCAAATCGCATCGCGGCTGGCCGCTGGGCAGTCTGCCGGCTTGGTGCTTGCGCCTTGGTGCGACGGTGGCTTGCTGTTGTGATGTGGATCCTGGGTCTGCCTGCTGATGATGGGTGTTGGCAAAGAGGAAGGTGACAAGGGCTTTGGAACCGAGTGTGGGGTGTTTGGGCGAACGCACTGCGGCGGGAGCCCTAGGATGGAGCGAGGCTTGCTTGCGAGGCGGCGGAGAGCGCGAAAGTGGCGTGCCCAAGCAGGTGTCCAGTCGGATTTTGCGCCTGCTGTCAAGGCCAGACTCTGTTGGCTGAGTGGTTGTCACCTGGCATGGGAGAAGTCCGGCGATTGGAGCAATCGAGCGGCGGGGATGCTGGGAGACATCGACCGCGTGGGGAGTCGATGCCTAGAATCCTTTTGCTCGACTGCCCTAGTGTATGTCCTTGGCAACCATCAGGAACTGTACAGGCCTTTCGCTTTCAAAAGCCGTGCTCCATTCTCTGCGATCTGCTCAAAGTGCTTATGCTTTGCAATTGTCAAGTGCAAAGTTGCATGGGAGTTGATAGTCTGCCCACCATGCCCATTGACACGGGCACAGGCCAGTGGTGGTTGTTCATTGAAATGGCAACTGCTTGGTCTTCAGGAGAGAACCTCGTTGGCTTGGGGGCAAGAAAGTTGGTAGTCCACATGCCCCAGCTGAACAAGAATTGGACCTGCTTGCCTAGAGTTCCCTCTGAACTAGTCATGTCACAATCTGACTTGTCAGATGAGGTCGATGGATACTGCCAGTTTGGTACTATTGAGCTTGCTGCCTGACATGATGGGCGCCAGTACCCAAAACTCTGGGGGTAATTGCAGCTGCACTTGCTGGTCCTGTGTCTGGTAGCTTCATTGTGGGGAGGAGCAGTGGTCATAGAAGCCCATCCTCTGAGCAGCAAAACCCACTCCAGAGTGTGGCACACATGTGCATTGGCTGGTAGCAGTATTTTGCTCACAATGAGAACTATTACTGGATTATAGCAGGGCATTGTGCACGTTGGGGACAAGTACCAAAGCACCGTATGTGGCTGGAAGAAGGGTGCTTCCTATGTGCTGTTTTCTGTACTGCAGTGCAGCAAGATGCCAGAACAGGGCACTTGCAACCTGCATGACCTTCGTCCTGCAGCTTTTTCTGTGTGTTGCTGAAAGATTCACCCCATCTCCTGGCTCTGGCTGTCCTGGTGCAGGTGGACAAGATGAGGACAGAGAGTGAGGCAATGGCGGCCCGTCTAGTGCAGCTGCGCATGCACCACCAGGACCTCGATCACCGCAAGGTCGAGCTCAAGAACAACGTGGCGACCCTCATGGCCCGCTCCCAGCAGCGGGAGGCCAGCTGCAATCAGCTGCAGTGCGAGATCGCCCACCTGCGCTCCCAGCTGACAGGCACCTCACTGCGCAACCCTGGCGGCCAGGGGCCCCCCTCTCAGATCGCCACCCTCCCCCCCACGGGGGGCCTGCTGCCCGGGATGCTGCAGGCCCCGTTCAGCAAGGGTGGCCTGGGTGAAGCTGTGGGGGTCGACCGTGGTGCAGCCGATGTGCAGCCCAGCCTGTTGCCAGCCATGCGCACAGGGGGGTTGGATCTCCAGCGTGGGCCGCCCTACCTGGACTCTGGGATCAATATGTTCCCAGGGGGGATCCCCAGCCAGGCCGTGGCTGTGGACACGCACGAGGTCGACCTGCCGCACAACCGTCCCAACAGGATGATGTTTGCGCCGATGGCGGGCCTGGGCCAGGGGGCCCACCCAGGGGGGGGGGGATGCCGGGCTGGCAGCCTTTGGCGTGGGACCAATGGCCGGCTGCCAGCCCTTCCACGACATCGAGGACGCCTACTTTCACGACAAGCCGATGGATGAATCTGTGACAGACTTGCTCATGGGCGAGGTGATGGGCCAGGAGCCGCTGAACCTGACTGACCTGTGGGGGGTGCCAGACGTGGAGGTGCTGCCGGGCCATGGGGAGGCAGGCGGCGGCAGGAACGGCGGCATTGGGATGCTTCCGCAGGGCGGCGAGGACGGGATAGGCATGGGGCAGGGGCCGTACATGATGGCTGCGGGGCCGGGGGAGCTGGTGGAGAACGTGGGGGGCGGGGCGAGCAGGCCCCTGTCGAGCGGGGTGGAGATGATGGGCGGCATGGGGGGGCAGCAGGGAAGGGGGACGATCGGCGCGTGATTGGGGTGGAGGGAGAGGAATTGTGCAGATTTGCAGATATGTTGTGTGCCGCCCTTGCGAAGGGATGTTGGAGATGGTGATGCTGTTTTTTGTTGGTTGGGATGGAGGCAGCGGGTGGCTGATATTGGTTTAGTGGCGGACCATGTGTCCTTGCTGACCTCCTCTGGCTGACGCAGGGGTGCGAAAGAGAGCTTTTGCAGGTTTGGAGCCAAGCACGTGCTGTGCAGGAGTGGCAGCTGGGGTGTCTGCAAGAGGCTGTGAGGGATACCCGGTTGCCTGTTTGCAAAGGCCCAGTACTGATGTCTGAGCTTTGGGTTATTTGGAGTACAGGGCATGGTGTATTGTTTTTCGGGGGCAGGTTGCTGCCCCAGCTGTCCCTGGGAGGCTTCACTGTCCCCCATCATCATTCGAACTTTGGGCACACAGGGGATGCGGGATGGCAGCTGAGGTGGCCGTCTGGGAGGGATTGGTGTCAGCATGGTGGGTGTATTTTCTATCACAGGCGTCTGTGGAATAACTGCAGGGCGCCCTACACATGCCTCCAGTAGGCAGACAAGGAAGGCCGGCACCGACCCAGGGTTGCGGCTGGTCGTGTGGCTTTAGTCAACAGTGCTTGGGGATGCTGTGGGGATATGTGAGGGGACATGCTGATGTGAGTGGTCACGCTACGGTTACAGGTGCAGCGCTTCAGATAGCAGTGGATGCTGCACCTGATGGCGTTTGTCGACAGGGGACCTGAAAGCTCTGCCGTCGTGGCTTCGGACAGCAAATGGCATGTGTGTGGCGATGCCATGGATGATCGGAGGCTTTTGGCTGGAAGGCAGCTGCTGTGTGGGCAGTGGCGCTGCAAGCATTGATTGAAGTGTGACCATCTCCATAAGACAGACATTGCGGTAGTTTGATGTGAGGCAGGTTGTGAAATTGGTCCTGCAGCGTGGCCAGGGGCAGGCCCCATGGGGCGGCTGGAGGCATATCTTGGTCTCTGAGAGTGGCTTCAGGTCCAGATAATGGAACCGGGGCAGCTGAACACGACAGGTATGCTTGAGACCTGCTGCAGGAGGCACGAATGCAGGCAGTGGATGTGGTGCGACTCGCCTGGACGTGGCAATCTTTCTCGCTTTTGCTAGCGCAGGTTTGAATTCGATTTTGGGTGATTTTGTATGAGGTACATGTAGGGGACATGTAGGACGGCTCGAACAAGAGGTAGAGCAGGTGCAGGAGATACACGTGGTGCCCCTGTGGCCAGGGGCTGCCTGCCCCCGGCGCACGCGGTCCGTTTCGGATTTTTCTTTGGTGTAAGTGTGACCATACTTTGACTCGAGCCTGCTGCAGGAAAGGCGCGCTGCCGACCAATGCACTGTCGGCGTGGGGCACTCCATCAGGGCTGACAGATGCGATCTGGCCACTAGCTAGTGCTTTGTGCTCTGATGTGCACTATGGTGCTGTGCCAGGTGTGCTGAAGGGCGCCATGTCTCCTTGTCGTCGATGCATCCTACGCTCAGCTCACACACAATTTCTTTCATTCATTTTGTTAATTCGATTGATTCGATTGAAAAACTGACTAAGTCAAATGAATAGCTGTTCAGTTTTGTTTTAATTGCATGATGTTTATGAATTGTGCCAATTGGAAAGAGCTGGGTCCCATTATGGAGGTGGACAACTGCGCAGATGGTCCCTCAATTCACCACATGTTGGGGGGTTTGAGGAATTGTAGAATTCCGATGGTGACAAAAAGCGCAAATGCCAAAGAGCCAAACGCACAATCCAAAACTGTGTGAAGGGAACAACTTCTCGTCCAGCAAAATGGCGAACCTTCAACTGTCCTGCGAATGCTCTGTTTCCAAATCCATGAGATAAGCAAAGATTGCACTGAGTGCACGATGTCAGCGTATTCCCACCAGGGTTCGGTGTAGCTGAAATCTCACTGTCGAGACTTCGATCGGCTGCATCAAGGGGACATTCGAAGCTGCATCAAACGGTTTGTTGGGCCACTAGTCGTCCAGTGGAACTGCATCTGCCACCAAAATAGTTCTGGATCATAGATGCTAACGCAGTTTAACCCCCTGATCCAAGGAGTTCGCAAGGAAAATGTTTGAAGATTAGGCCACGAAATGCCGCAAAATGGGCTTGAAACAATGCAAGATGCAGTGCATGGGTAGCAACATCGCCAAGTCAAAGTTACAAAATCACAAACACCACACTTCTGTCAGTGACAATGCTGCCACTGAAAGTTGTCAGCCTCTCCACGGCAGCCAGCGGCCTGGACTTGGGCCTGCACTAGGTGGGGAAGACTGGCGATTTGGTCCCACAGGGGGTCACTGCAATGCTCAAGGCGCGTTTTCCACTGCGATGCAAAGAACGAGGACCGACATGGGCCTCAACACACTGGGCCGCAGTACCGTGACGACGGGTATGGCCCCCGACGTTTTCCCGGGCTCATGCCTGCTGGGATGGCATGATGGGGCCTTTGATTGGGTTTGTGGCCTGGTAGCCAATGTGGTGTGTGAATTGGGGATGGGCCCTGCCTTCGTGGCGTTTTGCAAGCAATTCTGCGAGGTGGGGCTCAACGGCAGTCGCCCTGACCAACGCCATCGCCTGGCCATTCCTGGTGCTTGGCCTTAGGGCGCCCTTGGCGGGCGCCGCTCTAGAACCCGCTTTGGATGGCCGGGGGGGCCAGCAGGTTGACTCAATCCAGAAACCAGGGCGCCTCGATTCTCGATCGCTTCTTGGATCGTGCTTCGCGGCGTCGGTCGCTGCCCAGCGATCTTGCGCTGAAACCCTCAACGGCAGCTATTCGGCCCCGCAGCCTTTTGCTAGCCTCCTGCCAAATTCTCCCTTGACGGCATCCACGCCGACTTGATCATCTGCGTCGATGCGCGAATCGCAGGGAATGCGGTATGGCTCGGACTGGGCACAGTGGCCCAACACCAGCCGCCGACATCTTGCCACCACCCTCACCTTCACTCGTTTGTGTTGAAGTCGAGGGGTGGATACCAACACTGGGTCATGGATACTAACATGTTTTCGACCCCAAAAGAGGGGGTGGGTACTAATACCGGGTAAATACGGTATGTGCACTGCGCAGAGACAAAATGGTGCAAAAGTTGCCCCATTGCGCAGAAAATGGTGGCAGTCATGTTGAACAAAATGAGGAGGGCCAGGCCATTATAGACCATTCTAACCGCTCCTAAAATCGGACTCATCTTCGCTTCGTCGATATTGAGCATCCATGCTATCCACCCAAGTAGGGTCACCATGAACTCCCCAATCCAGTGGATTCCAACGCCCAGGAACCTCACTCCCCGTCCGACAGCGCCAGCCAACGCCGCCATGACGGCAGCTCCCTCCATTGGCGTTCTAGGGAAGCTCAAACCCATTTTGCACCTCACCATAGAGGTCTCCACCAGATCCGTACGGCGCAACTCCCTCACAGCGTCCACCGTTGCGCGCACCGGCCGATCAGCACCACCGTAGGGCGCTACGGCACTCCAGCTCCAGCGACTGCGCTTTGTCACACGTTCGCGCAGCCCTCAGTCACTCCGGAATCCGCGCTCGTCTACACTCAGCACTCAGCGGGAGTGTGAGATACGCCAGAGAGCCTCGGGGCTCCTTAGGCAGGTTTACGGACTCTCAGGTACCGCAAGAGGGCAAGACCAGGATTGGCCAAGCCGGGCGAGGGTCTGTGGCACGACGGCGGGATCGTACAGGCGGCTGGGACACACTCGTTCACACAGAGGCCTGCCGGAGAGCTGCCTTGACAGACTCCCCATGGTTTTCTATTATAGGATCGTTTGTTCGGTACAACTGGCACACATGGGTTCATCCCCTCTCGTCACCCTTCCACGTCCGTTCACACCGCTGGATAAGAAAAGACCCAATTGATATCGCGTTCTGATACAGTTCGTCCTGTACAATCACATGACAGCCCGGATCCCCACGCACTCCTTCTCCGCCAGAGATTCCCTCGGACAGCTCCAGTCGTGCCAGCTGGCTTCAGGAGGCTTCAACTCATCGCGTCATCCGCCAGCCCGTACACCGTCCTGTCACGATCGCCAGCTCGTCCACCAACTTTCCGTAGTCCACGCTCCTCAGCCCCCGAATCCCGGTGGGAGTGATGGTGTCACCTCACTCTCGGTGCGCGTCCCGTCAAATCTGGGTGGAAGGGCTGGTGTCGTCATCGCAGATGCGCCGATAGTTGCCGGTGTAGCTGGCGGTACGTCAGCGGGCACGTCCACCATGACGTCATCTTGTGCTTGACCACGTGCCCGCGCTTCCCGGCGCTAACGCCGGATGGCCCTCCACCAAGCGCGTTCCTCCGCATGCAGCTCGACGCCCGTGTACAGCGGCTTGCCTGCGTTGAGGCGTCGAGCCACGATTGCGCTGGCTTCCGCGAAGGCAGCCGAAGGCAGTACAACAGCATTGGGTTCGGTTTGGATCTCGAACTCCTTCCACTCCCGCGGGAAGACCTCGGAGGCGCTTGATGGGTGCGTGGCGGCGTACTCGCGACGCGTCACTCCACCACCTTCCATGCGCCAGCAACGCGCGTCGGAAAACGGTACACTGAGGTCCAAGCTGATGTGTACCTGACGGTAGTAGTAGTTTATCTCCACGCCTCGCCAGGCCTGGACGCGTCCACCTTCGTGCTCGATCATCGCCACGATTCATCGACGGAAAGCCTGCGTTC